TCAGATGCTATCCCAGAGGGCTTGGTTCTGATCTAGAACATGAGGAATGAATGAGTTCCTGAGGAGAAGGAGTTTTTTTGAGTAGGTTGAGTGTATCTGCTACCAGACCTATCCGGGTCCCATGCTCAGTAATTGCTGGCCAAAAGAAAACTCGGAGATGATTTTATGAGAAAGAACTTTATTGGGATCCAGCAAGCAAGGACACACCAGGATCATTCCCAGAGCAGTGTGTCCCCAAACAAAGCATCCAGTCCATCTTTATTAGGGGGAATCCTGCATGAATATCAAGGTAGACTTTGTCATTGCATCTATAGGAGGGGACATTCCAGTGTATGTGCAGTCAGGAAACATGGTTATACCTACATCCCATGTTAAAAAATGGTAGAGAATCTCTGCACCTGGTTGGAGATTTTACTATTATAATGAGGGTATAATGAGGAAAGTTCACGAGGAGGAGGAGGTCACTGGGGGGGGTCCTTCAGGCTTCTGTGGCTGGTTTGAGGAAGTTTCAGCTGGTTCATCCCCCTGGTCCTGCAAAACACCTTGGGTCTGTTCCTGAGAAACAATTCTAGCAATCACCAGTGTCAGGGGTTACGTAGGTATGGCTAAATGTCTGATCAAGTCTTGGTCTTTCTGTGAAACTTAGCGAATTACAAGATAGCATTACACAAACCTTATACATTTTAGAGCGATCTCAGTGGGGTTGCAGGTTAATCGAGGCAAAATTATAAACTCTAAACAAAGATTTGATGAGACAAGTAAATAGAGTTAATAGGATCGGGCTTGTGAGCTGGCAGGATGGGACAGGCAGAGTTAACAGGAGCAAGCTTTTGGGCTAACAGGATCGAGCTTAAACATTAAGCAATTGGCTCTGACTCCCCTGGCTAGCACTGCACCTACAAGCTGACAAGCACCTTACATCCATCATAGGAGAGAACGGAACAGTTCCCAATCACAACAGCAACCCCCTGCACACTAACAAACACTCATCATGGATGGGTACAGAACGGTTCCCAATCGCAACAGCAACCCCCTGCAAACTGACATCCGTCATATATGGAAACAGGACAGTTCCTTGGAGAAGACAATTGTAACAGCAGCCCCCCTGCAAGCTGACAAGCACCCTACATCCTGCTTAGAAAAATATAAAACCCGAGCTAAACAAACCCGGCGCAGCTGTCTCCATCAGACTCTGCCCTGGCAAACTCCTTCTGCTAGTATCTCTCTTACCCCTCTGTCTCAGCAGCTGTCTCTGTCAGACTGCCCTGGCAAAACCCCTTTTGCCAGTTCCCAACAGATCTCTCTGTCTGCCTGACTATCAAATCTTTTCTTGCTCTTGTAGAGTCTCGTGAATGCTTTCATGTTCTGCGAATGATGAGGGGTTAATTCTACACCAATACAAGATTAATCCATGCTAGGTTACCTGCTAGTTTACATGTGTAGGTTAGGTTACATACCCACTGTTAACAAACAAGAATTCAACCAAGTAAATTCAAGGATCGGGCAGCATCCCATCTAGTAAGTAGAGAGGTATTCTGACAAATTGTATAGAATGGAAGGTTTTTCTAGGCAGAAACTGGACGGGACAAGAAAGTCAGTAGCAAAAGAAAGAATGCACTGTTTCAGGTAAGGGCACCTTCTCCCTGGGAAGGGCCACAAGGGTCTTACCTGACAGATTACCTCACTGATGTTGACCAGGAGATTCCAGACTAGTTTAAGGTCACATTCCTGGGAGGGGCTGAAAATTTAATTGAGTCTTGGCTTGTTGTTCTTGGACCTGCTGTTTCTTTTTCTTAATACCGCCTAGACTTTTTTTTAAACAAATGATATTATAATTTGGTATTATAACGGGCATAGGAACAAAACAGCCATCAGGAGTCCCATCACCCATTTCCATGTTTCCTTCTTATTTGTCCATATGTAAATGTGACTTACAGTTTTATAGGGGTCATAGCTTAACTATAATTCAATACTCTTTTTTTTCACTTAGCATTTATTATAGTAAGCATAACTTTAAATATCTGTACCAAATTAATGCATCCATAGTCTCCTTAACCATTGGCTTCTTGTAAGATATTTAGATTATGTCCTTTTCCCCCACTATTAATGCTAGAATGGGTATTTTCACACATTCTAGTTTTTGTTTTTGTTTTTCCCTAGCTACTTAGGAAACATTCTCCAGAGTAGGGTTCATGGTCTTTGTCCAAGGTTGGCTCAGGCATTTCTTTGCTTAAGGGGGGACGGCGTGTTCGTAGGGGAGAGAATGGTAGAAAAGAAGAGACTGCTTTTGACCTGAAATGACTTAGTTTTATTTGTTATTTTTCTTTTTTTAAAAAAAAAACTTTATTATGAGAACTTTCAAACATACAGAAAAATAGAGAAACAGTATGAATGCACATATATATCTGTCACCTAAACAGTTAATATTTTGCTATATTGGCTTCATCTATTTTCGTATGAAGTATTTTAAAGTAAATCACAGATATCATAACATTCTACCCCTAAAGACTCACTATGCATCTCTAAAAAATAAGGACATAGTCTTACATAACTACAGTGTCATTAGATCATCCAATACATAGCCCATAGTCAAAATTTTCCTCTCACCCCCTAAATTCTTTTTACAGTTGGTTTGTTTGAGCGATGATCCAAACAAGACCTGCGTATTGCGTTTGGTTGTTCCATTTCTTAAGTCTTTTACTCTGGAACAGTCCCTTTCCTTTTTTTCATCGGGCCATTGCCTTGTTGAAGAATGACCCTGTTTTCTGATTCCGTTCCAGTGTGATTTGGTGTATACCTTCTTCCACCCTCTGCCCCGGGATGAGAAAGCTGCAGGCACCAGCCCAGCCCCCAAGTCTTCAGGTACAGTGCCTTCCCTGTGACAGTTCTGCCAACCCCTCTGAACCATTCCCAAGGGCAATTTCTCCTGCCCCTACCCTGCCCAGTTCTCGTTTCTTCCCTTGTCTCTGTAACTGGCTAGAGAATTTGGTTTCCCACTCAGGCTGTGGGGTCCATAGCTCCTTGCACAGCTGCCCCCGGGACTGGATATTCAGTTGGTAATGACACAAATTGGATAGACCCATCCCGACCGAACTCTAAATCATGTTCACAGATGCCCCCTGGCCAGTCCCCCAGGGGCTATCAGGAACCTAACATGGAGATACTGTTGGGGGATAGGGGAGTCAGAGGAAAACAAACATCTGCCTGGTACCAGATGGGGACAGGGCTGGCTTCATGACCTTTCTTGGTTTCCTTTGTCCCTGCAGACGGCACATGGGCCCGGCCTGTTGGGAAGGTGGGAGGGGAGGTGAAGCTGTCCATCTCCTACAAAAACAATAAACTCTTCATCATGGTGATGCATATTCGGGGCTTGGTAAGTGCATGCACAATCCTCATGTAGTTCATATTCTGGTACTTTTCTGACTGGTCAGACCTCTGCCCCCATCTCATGAGAGTAACCCCAAGATTACTGAGGCTCCACCAATGGGCCTGCTACTGCGCCAGGCCTAGGATGTGACCAAGCAATACTAGACACAGCTTCTTACCAACTGTGGTCTTTGGCAAGTAGCCTAATTACTCTGAGCCTCATTAAATGAAGATAAAGTTAGCATCTACCTCATTGGGTTGTCCTGGGCATTAAATGAGATAGTGCATGTAGAGCACCTAACATAGTGCCTGGTATTATTATTATGGTAATTATGGTGATTATAATAAGAGAGAGGCCCAAGGGGCTTATTACCTAGTTATCTGAGCATAATCCATGCAGTATATAATTACTAAAATTTTTGGTATGATTCTAAGACCATTGTGAGTGGAAGGGGAAGGGAACTTTTATTGAATACCTGCAATCTGCTGGACTTTTGTAGGCTGGGGCAGAAGAAGCATGAGCTTTGGAATCAGAGAAACCTGGGTTGCATTCATACTATATCATTCATTCATTCATTCATTCATTCATTCAACAAGTGTTCATCAGGTACCTACTATGAGCCAGGCACTGCTCCATAAGCTCTGGTACAGGGTGAACAAAACAAAATCCTTGCCCTCAGGGAGCTTATATTCCAGTAGGAAGAGGCTGACAGACAAATATATGGCAAGTGCTCTGGTAAGAAATAAAGCAGAGAAGGAATAGAGGGGTGGAATGTGGGTAGTGGCAGTTTTGCATGGAGAGGTCAGGGAAGCCTCATTAATGAGCAGGTGTTGGAGGGAGCCATGCATATATATCTGAAGGAGATCTGTTCCAGGCAGAGGTAGCAGTTAAACCCAAAGGCTGGGAAGCCTGCTTCTGGTGCACGTGGAACTGTAATGGCACCTTGTGGCTGAAGCCTTTGGAATGAAGGGGAGAGTCGGGGGGTGATGGTGTTGGAAAGAGCACAGCTGACTAGAGCTTGGGGCCCACTGTCAGGACTAGCTTTTACCCTGAATGAGATGGGAACCGTTGGATGGTTTTGAGCAGAGGCATGTAAACCAAAATTAAGTTTAAGACTGTAGTAAAGATTTAAAAAGCATTTTTTTGAGCAAGAAGAACTCCTGCTCAAGAGACACAGATTCAGGTAGCAATCCAAATTGTGCTCCACCGAGACAAATGGGAAGCCATCTTTTGTAGAGAAAGTTTCTATTTTATGCAAATGAGGTTTCCAAATGGTTCAGTGCTGATTGATCATTATGGAGCCGTTCTGATGGAACAGGGCCATTCTTAATTCATGGGTCAAAAAGACAAAACCAGGAACTCCCTTATTTTTATTTTTAAAAAATGGAATAGTAATGTTGACTCAGCCAGCATGAACCAGCAGGGCATAGTGCATGTGGGAAGCTGAGAGTTCAGTCTGAGGTTCTTCCTGGTATACAGAGGATGTAAGAAGCCCCTGTCAGCAATTGCCCACTAGGCTTTTATTATTCATACAGTGTGGGCCCTTGGTTGACCATGAGAAATCCATCTCACTCAGCAGATAAATTCCTTCTTGGGGTTCACATCAAATGAATCTTTCTTCTTGGGGTCCACAGGCATGACAAGCTCTAACTTAAGATTTTAAAGGTCAGGCTGGGAGAATCACTAATTGGCTGACTTTGAGCAAGCAACCTGAATCTCTCTGACTCATTTCTCCACCCCTTAGGGGGTTACTTGGATCAAATCACAAACTAGACGAAGACGCTGGGCAAGGCAGGGAGATATCTGGGGACATGATGGTTCATTCAACACAGAGCAAGTAAGGCATGCCCTGAGCATGTGTACAGACTGGCTATAATAGACAATCCAGTTGTTATTTTAGGGCACCTGACATGCTCATGGTAGATATTTTGGTCAGAATGGAATGATCTAAGAGACAGCCAGATAAATTACTCTGCATTGCAGGCAGTCAGGTTTGTGAGATAAGAGTCTGGATCAGGGTGTGATCACAGGAATGGTGATAAAAAGACAGATATAAGAATCTTCATTTTTTGTTGTTGTTGTTTTTCATTCCCTTTGTAGCAACTGCTCCAGGACGGAAATGACCCCGACCCCTATGTGAAAATTTACCTCCTTCCTGACCCTCAGAAAACCACTAAAAAGAAAACCAAAGTGGCCCGGAAAACCTGCAACCCAACCTACAATGAGATGGTGTGTGGGGAAGGTGTTGGGGGAGGGCAGGGGTTTGTAAATAAAGCTGTATTGGAACATGGCCACACCTATTCATTTCAGTATCGTCTGTGGCTGCTCTCCTGTTATAAATGGCAGGGTTGAGTAGTTGTGACCAGACTAGAAGGCCTGGAAAGCCATGTTTCCTATCTGGCCCTTTACATAGAAAGTTTGCTGACCTTCAGGGTTGGCGTTCCACAGCTGGGGCGTAGGCTGGGCCCTGTCCTGTGGGGAAAAGGAACCTGCTGACGCTTTGCTGATAATAAGCAGTGACTCCAATAAAAAGCCCCTCACCTGCTTGAACTCTGAGCAAAGAACAAAGTTCTTTAATGCTTCCCTTGGGTTCTGTGTGCTTTCTCTATTCCCTTAGATTCTGGTTAGGGAGATACAGTCGTCTTAGCCTCAGCAAATCAAGCCACCACAGACTTAAGCATCTCCCTTTTAAATGTGCCCCCTTGGATTCTTCGAGTTCCCTCTCTTACCACTTCCCTCTTCCCAATCTCTGCATTTGCAGCTGGTGTATGATGGGATCCCCAAGGGTGACCTGCAGCAGCGGGAGCTACAGCTCAGTGTGCTGAGTGAGCAAGGATTCTGGGAGAACGTTCTCCTTGGGGAGGTGCACATCCGCCTGCGAGAGCTGGACCTGGCCCAGGAGAAGACCGGCTGGTTCGCACTGGGATCTCGAAGTCATGAGACCTCGTGAGCCCAGCAGAGCCCTGGCCCAGGACCCCAGGCTGGTGATGGAGCTAGGGGAGAGGACTCTCCCTGCTTGACTTGTCCTTTACTTGTGAAAGGGCAGGGCCCTTGGCGGGCCTTCCGCTGTTCAGGTGGATTGGGCCTCCATGATAGGAGGCAGGGAGAATAAGAGGCTCTCTGTCATCCCCCGCTCTGCAGACTGGATTTGGGTAGGTTGTGATGAGCAGCCCCTTGGAGGCTGTGAGGTTGCAGCAAAGTTTTAAGTTTACCTTGTGTCAAGGGAGCAATGCCTGGTTTGGGGTGTGTGGGGTGGGCTGTATGAAGTAGCATTTTGGGGCAAGGTGGGTGGATGTCTTTATTTTTATTTTTAAAAAATGAAATAGTAATGTTGTCCTAACTGGACAGGAAGCCTTGTGAGAAGGGACTTGCATATGCCTCAGAAGGCAAAAGAGGAGGACTATTTGGACTTTTTGTATGATTAAGGTTCTTATTGGACTTTTCCCTAGGTGTGTGTTTGTTTTTTGTTTTCGTTTTTCTCTCTATAGGAATTTATTTGGGGAGGGGCCCAGTGGGTCCTCGGTTAGAGCTCCTCCTCCTCAGGGGCAGGTCAGGGACGGAGGGGGAGAGCTGTGTGTGCTGAACTGAGGCCTGTGCTGCCAGGCCTTTCTGATTTTGCCTCCAAAGGAGAGCGACGTGATACCTATGTGTGTAAGGAAGGGCCTTCTGTATGGGGTTCTGCCAAAGGACCTGTATTCAGGGACCCGTCCGTGCTCTTTCCGGGGAAGTTTTTCCTTTCATCTTCCCCTACTTTGCTAGGACTCGCCCTGAATACTGTCTTCTACCCCTCCATTCTCTCGCCCTTCTGGGGGCCATTTGGTCCCTGTGAATACGCTGGGGGTGCACCCCCCCATAGGTCTCTCCCTTCCTGTTTTGTCTGGTGGGATAAAATGCTGCCTTGGCCCTTCGATTTCATTTCACCCAAGGGCACCTGGGCCCTGGGAAGGGACCTCTAGGCTGCAGATGCCCTTGTGGCCACCTGCTGCGTAGTCCTGGGACGCTTTTCACAATACCCGCCACTCCTGATGTGCTGCTTGTCTCCCAAACTCCATTTCTGTCACATTTTTTATAAGAATTTCCCTCATCCGATGGGGCCATAAACCTATTTAGCCTGGAACCAAAGGGATGCCCTAACTGCAGGAAAGGGATGTGGGGTCCTGTCAAAACTGTCATTTTTCCAGGGGTTTTCTTTGGACTTGAGGAGGCTGGATTGGAGCAGTGATTGATTCCCCTGGAGCTGAGCTGGGAGGGAGAGATTGGGTCTCTCATCTCTTAATACTCATCATTCTGTGAATTGGAAATTCACTCTTGTGCTTTACTCCCAAAGGTTGTCTTCCTTGAAAAAAGGGAGAGACTTGGAGTTTGATATTAACATTTTAAACCAGAATTGGCTGGATGTGCCCCATGATTGGGTAACAGTTAATTGGGGGTACTCTGTGAACTGTCCCTCCTCAGCTTCCTCCCCAGCTCCAAGGATCAGAAATGCCTCCTTTTGCTGACTCATTCCAGAGCTGGAGAAAGAACCTCCATTCATTGAAGCCACAGGGCAGCAAGGAAGTTGAAACTTTTCTTTTAAATTAAAAATGCCAAGGATATAGCTGGCTGCTGTGGGGAGGGGAAGGGCGTGGGGCACGGCGGTGGACTTCTCCAGATGAATGGACCATAGATGCATTACTGGCTTTTTGCCGGTAGCTCATTTTTTGAGCCTCTGTGCTCCTGGTTTAAAGAGGTCTGTGTACTGTACCCACTTCCCAGACGCCCTTGTATTCTCCTCCTTTCTCTGGAATTGTATTTTCTAATAAATGACATTTGAGAAAAACAAAGCTATCGTTTTCAAGATTGGTTGATGTTTAAATGTTTATACGAAAACATCTAGTGTACAAGAGGAAAATAATAGTGGTTTACAAATGGTAACTTCTCTGCACTAGGCGTCTTAGCGTTTGTCAGCTAAATCTAGCCTCGCAACTTGATACAACAGGTGAATATTATTCTCATTTTACAGATGAAGAAACTGAAGCTCAGAGAGATGAAATAATTTACCTAAGGACACAGCCATTCAGCCTTGGACCTGGAATTTGAACCCAAGTTTATTTGACGCCTTGTGTTATTCCTCTTAGGCCATGTTTAATATAATCCCTTAAGTTGATATAATACTTGTTGCTTTTCAGAGTGTTTTAATATGTATCAGTTTCTTATTACAACTGCCCTGGAAAGTAGATATGGCTCATTCATTAATTCTGTCAGCAGACATTGGCTGTGCTTACCAGTGCTACCCAGTTTGCCTAGTATGCCTCTGCTCCCAAAGCATACAGGCTTGAGTTATGCACTGGGTCCTGTACCAGGTACCAGGCTGAGGGTTAAAAGGTAAATAAAGATAATCCTCTGCATTTAAGAAGTTTGCTGCCAAGTGATATTTAACCAACCTCATTTTATGAGAAAGGAAACTGAACTTCTGAGATGCCTCACAACAACTAAGCCAGGAGAGCAGAGCCATAGCCCAAAGTTGAACCCCCCCCAAATGGAAGATGAAGGTGATGTGACCTTTGTTCAAGCATTTTACCCAGAAGTTTTCAAAACTCTCCAGTGGGAGTCATATTTCATACTGGAAAATTTTGTGGGGCTTCCAAGGGATTTTCAGTAGTAAACAGTAGGAAGTATCACCTGCTGTGTCTCTAAGTGGTTTTGAGGTATCACTGCAGTGCTGGACAAGTCCCAGTGGACCTTTTAAAAGTCAGAACATGAATCTGGCAAGAGTCTTAGTTAAGGAAATTTCTTGCCCACATGGAGTAGAAACCTGAACCACCCTGAGGGAGTGGGAATGAGAGGGCTGGGGAGGGGAGAACGGGTTTCCCAGGGAGGAGAGAAACAAAAGCCTAGCAGGCCAGGTTCTCCGAGTTCAAAGGTGGCAAAAATGAAGTTACCCAACTTGCTGGGATATAGGGGGCAAAGATAAGACTGAAGGTTAAAAGTGAGGCAGCCTTTTAAGCTGGGAGGTCATTCTGGTGGCTGGGACTTGTCTGAGGTGTCTGTTTAACAAGCAACACTGATGGCCTCCTCTGGGTCAGGCGAGGCGCCAGGCTTTGTGGCTAATGAGATGACAAAGGTGTGGGTTCTATCCTTAGGAAACTCAGTCCAGCTAGGGAGGCAGACATGGACGCAAGTAGTTCCAGTGCAGTGTCTCAGGAACAAGGTGGAAAGGGGGAGGGGCAGGGCAAGTAGAGTGGGCTTCATGAGGAGATAGTTGAACCATTTTAATTGAGTTTTAAGATCAGTCAGAGCTTTGGATTTTATTTTTAGTGTGGTGGGGCTGCCAATAGAGAGAAGGACTCCAGCGCTCCAATTAATGTTTTCAAAGATCATTCAGGCTGCTCTGGGAAGCGAGAATGGAAGCAGAGGAGAATGCTATTGCCATATTCTAGGAGGGAAATGACGTTGGCTCTGGGATGGTGATAAGTAGTTAAATTCTGGATCGGTACGATTTTGAAGGCAGAGCTGACAGGATTTGCTGATGGATTGGATGTGAAACTGAGGGAAAGAGGAGTCCAGGATGACTCCTGAGTTTGGGGCCTTGGCAGCTGGGTGAAGAGGACGGGGGGGCATTACAGGGACGAGAAAGACGGGCTTCGTAGAGCTGAATTAAGAGTTTTGTTTTGATCATGGTAAGTTTGAGATGTCTGGACATCCAGGTGGAGAAGTAGGAGAATAGAATCTGAAGGCCAAGGGAGAGGTCAGTCTGGAGTTTAGATATGGAAGTCATCAGCACTTAGGTGGCATTTAATGCCATGAAAGTGGATGAGATCACCTAGATTAGAGAGGCTAGGGGGAAAAAAACCCAAAACAACACATGGGTGGACTGAATTCTGATGCAGACCAACATTTAGAGGAGGAGGAGGAGCCACTGAAACTGTAGGGGAACCAAGAGAAGGATGCCACAGAGGCCTAAAGAAGAGTATTGTCCATATCCTAGGGCTGCCGTAACAAAAGACCACAGACTAGGGGACTTAAACAGCAGAAGTTTCTTTTCTCATAGTTCTGGAGGCTGGACATTCAAGATCAAGTTGTTGGCAGGGTTGATTCCTTCTGAGGGTTAAGAGGGAGAATCTATTCCATGCCTCCTCCTAGGTTCGGGTGATGTGCTGGCAATCTTTGGCATTCGTTGGCTTGTAGATGCATCACCCTAATCTCTGCCTTCAAGTCTATATGGTGTTCTCCCTGTGTGTCCATGGTGTCTATGTCCAAATGTCCCTTTTGTATAAGGATACAGCCACAGTGGATTAGGGCCCACCCTAATGACCTCATCTTAACCTGCAAAAACCTTATTTCCAAATAAGAGCACATTCACAGGTACTGTGATTAGGGGATTAGGACTTCAGCATCTTTTTTTGGAAAATGTAACTGAAGGACATTTGTCTGTTTTTCACCAAGACTTTATCTTGAGGACATAACTAAACTGTGTCACCACCCCCTCCAACTTGAAGAAGGGTTAGTACAGTGAGTGTTATAACGCAGGCATAAACCGTTTTTGAAGGACTGGAACCAACATAAACCGACAAAGAACAACTTCCATCTAAATAATCATAAAAATGTTTAAGCAAAAAAAAAGAAAGAAAAAGAAGGGGGCGATGGGAGTTTCAGATGGAACCAGATCCTCACGTTTCTTTCTTTTTTTTTTTTAAAGATTTTTTAATTTTATTTTTTATTGGGGAATTGTGGGAATAGGAACAGTGCTGGGGAATTGGGGGAAGGGGAACAGACAAGTTGCTGTCGTTTTTTGTTCTTCAATCTAGTTGTGGAGGCAGATCCTCACATTTCATTTAACACGTTCAATCCTGGCTAGAGTGTACCACAGTGGAAACAGGATTACGAGAACACAGAACTTCCACTACAGCATGCGGTACACACCTGTGTTCCAAGCCCGCCCCAACTCCCTAATGCTTCTATTTCCTGAACACAACTATTTCCTGGCCTGTTGGGCCTGCTGATGAAGGAGCACGTAGATCTCTTTAATCCAGTCTTTGTTATAAGGCTGGTATGTCAGTCTGGGTATTAGCTTGGTAAACAAGGCAGCTGAGGTCTGCCAGATCATCAATAAAATCAAACGGCGCCGGCCGAGCGGCGTGGTGGTTAGGAGCTGGCTTGGGACGCCAGAGGGCCCTGGTTCGGACATATGAGCGCCAGTGACACTGCCCTCTACAGCTAAGATGCTGAACAACAGCTCAACCTGGAGTTGGGCTGCCATGAGTCGCCAGTGAGGATGTAGGCTGCAGCCTCTGCTGCAGTGGGGTTGCCATGGGCTACCGTGTGTGGCCAGCAGCCAGCGTGAGCGGCCAGCAGCCGCAGTGAGCGGCCGTCCAGAAGCTGGCGACTGATCTGCCTNCAGCAGCCAGCGTGAGCGGCCAGCAGCCGCAGTGAGCGGCCGTCCAGAAGCTGGCGACTGATCTGCCTCACCCGGGAAGAGCGCAATGATGGTGCTATATTGGGCCAGTGAAGCAACGTCCTCCACAACTAGACCGAAGAACAAAACAACAGCAACTTGTCTGTTCCCCTTCCCCCAATTGCCCAGCGCTGTTCCCATCCCCCAATTCCCCAATAAAAATCTTAAAAATAAATAAATAAAATAAAATAAAACAACTGGCTGATATCATATGTGATAGAGGGGCTGTTGGGATTCATTCGCATCAGATGTTCATACATTTTACAAATGCCTTCCCTGAATTCATTCACAGATTCACAGTCAGTGTATCTTCTTCCTTCTGGCCTCTTGGTAGTCTGTACCAGCAAAACAGTGTGAGACATAGCGCCAAACTTTTGCTGCAGCCGCCACCGACACTACCGCCGCACACGAGCTTAGCCACAACGCCTGACTTCAACATCTTTTAGAGGAGTACAATTCAACCCTTCACAGTCAGAGAACTGGATTTGGCAAAATGTTCTTGAGAAGAGCTATTTGAATGAGTGGTGGGGATGAAAACCACATTACAGTAGGTTGAAGAGTGAAAAGGTGGTGAGAAAGTGAAGACCATCAGCATAAATAACTGGTGAGAAATTTTGCTGTAGTGGTACAGAAACTTGGAGGTGCATGTGTCTAGGGAGAGTGTTTCATTTTTAAGATAGATACTGTAACCTGGTGCTCTCGCCCTACCGAGCTGGCAGGCCACCTGGCTCCCTTCCCCAGCCCAGGACTGGCTGGCTGGTTGCCCTGAGGAGGAGTGGAGGGGAGCGTTGGGCCAGTCCTTGGCAGGCTGCGGTGCTGATGTCATACTTCTGTGCTGCCCGCAACTGCACGCAGAAGAGTACGCAGTCGGACCTGGTCTTCTGGTTCCCGTGGAATCTGGCCAGATGCCAGAAGTGAGTGGAAAGTTGTAGGAGAGCCAACTTCGAAGATAAAACACCTGATCAACTAAATAAGCATACTGATTATGTACCAAACACTTTGAGACCTCTATGATCTGTAGAACTATACATTTTGCAGAGGCATCAGAAAGTTAAAGAATGATTGGGTTGTTTTCTTTCTCAAAATTAACTGAAACAGATACTTGTGAAATCACTGGGCGAGTCCTCACAGGACAGTTCTTCGAGATAATGCAATCCGTACCAACAATATTTGATCTTACCAGTCATTTGAACAACCCGCATAGTAGACTTAGAAAATGAATAAAAGAACTGAGTGAAGATGAAATGAGGACACTGAAACAG